GTTTAACTGCATTGAGAAAATATACATATTTATTTCCGATGGCTGAAAATGCCTGTCTTCAAATTCATGGGTCCTTTACACTGAATCCCACAGGCTACAACGATAAAAATTAAAGATGTTGTATTTCACACAGATAGAGAGGTATGGCTCGGCCGATTCGCGCGCTACGCTTCGCACCTCGGCATAATAATGGGATAGTGATAAATGAAGATTAAAAATAACAGATTTACAGTCCATCCATATTTGGACTTTGGTCACATGAACTTCACATCCAATCCAATGGAGCGGCTATGAAAATGATGAGCATTTTATCAGCAGGACCCTCCCATGCTTATTTTGTGGAGCAGTGATTCATGAGGAAAAGGCACAGTTATATAGCCTGTGTGTGTGTGTGTGTGTGTGTGTGTGTGTTTTACAGTGGATAGCAGCAGAGAGGTAAGCTGGACCTTACATAACCACCATCTTTTCCTGCCATATGCTCAGTCACTCTGCATCGATCTGCATCATTACAAAAGCGACAACTGTTTGGGGAGCCAAATGAATTCCATGCAATCGCTTCCCCAAAAACCCGGCAAATGTCCATTTGCTGCTAAGAAAGTTCCCCTGTCTACAGATCATTTTGTTTATGATGCACATTACCCAGATCCTTCACATAGTCACTGTATCTACACTGTCATCAGACTAACATCCAGTGAAGTACGCAGGTGACACGGTTCTCCTGTCTCTGTTCTCTGGCTCCTCACATCAGCACAGCTCAGTGCTCAGTGAGTTTGTGCAGTGCTGTGACAATGCCTCCCTGGAGCTAAACGTGGAGAAGACCAAGGACATAGTGGTGACCTTCTCTAGTAAACAGAGGGAGCTGGCGACAGGATCTGTCAGTATAATCCACGACCAGACAGTTGAGGTGGTGGAGGAGTACAAATATCTGGGCACTATCTTCGACTGCACCCTGAAGTTTTCCTCCAGCACAGAGGACATTCTAAGGAGATGTCAGCAGCGCCAATATCTCCTAAGGAAGCTCAACAGCTGTGAGGTCAACAAGGTCATACTCAGAACCTTTTACTACTCCGTCATTGAGAGTGTCCTCTGTTTTTCCATCGCCTGCTGGTATCACTCTACTAGCCTGCAGCACAGGACCCCTCCCATGGTCTGTTCCCGGAGTTTGAGTGACTCCCCTCAGGACGACGGCTCCGCTGTCCCGGCTGCAGGACACGGAGGAGGAGAGCGACCTCTGTTCCTAGGGTCGTTCAACTCCTCAACCCACAGACTTCCCTTCCCCCCCTGCCTCCCTGCACTGGAACCCATCATTCTTTCTGCACTTGAGCCCCCCCATGCCCACTAACAATCTCTCCCTTTTATTTATTCAGTTCTCATCTACCTGTTTGATTGCAATTTTGTGCAGCATCTTCTAAATACTGTAAATACTGTTGCACTGTACATCATTGTGTCCTTTGTTCAACTTCCCTGTGTGCCTTTAATTGCCCCTCGGGGACAAATAAGGTTTTTGAATTGAACTGAATTGAATTGTGTCTCACAACCCAGAACCATCTGAAACACTCTAATCAGAAAGGATGGGAAAAAATGAACACATATCACTTTCACCTCAAGCAGCAGGAAGGTCACTGTACACCCCCAGCACGTGACGCATGCCCAGCAACAACACGCTAATTGGTCTGGGGGGAATTTGATTGCACGAGTTCCAATTAGCAAGGTCTGCACAGAAGATTATCTGTAAAGTGGCCTACAGGAAACCAACATTGCTCCAGGACGACCATTCTAAGCAGTGTCCATGCAGCGCCCTCTTCAAATGAACAGGCGGCAGCTCTGTCTCCCTCCCTGTCACATAAACACAGGCAGCAGCTACCAGGTAACATAAAATGCCATGAAGACACTCCCCTTTTCCAGCGGATCATGACTTGGCTTGTGAACAGGATGTTATTTACGAGCTCTACTTCCAAGGCTGTAACTTGTATATTAATAGAAATAAACATAACAAACCCTGCCCAGCAAGCGTGTTTCAGTGTGACGCGTGGAAGGGCCGCCCGTCTTCAGGGTACGCGGGAATCCGGCAGCGTGTTTCAGTGTGACGCGTGGAAGGGCCGCCCGTCTTCAGGGTACGCGGGAATCCGACATTAGGGGAATGGAAGCATTAGGGGATGCAGGGGAATTACCCTGCTAGGTAACTGCCTGCTGTGTGTGTTGTGTCACCCCCTCTATGACGTGCTAAATTCCATTTCCGATTCCCCATTCATTATGTACTCAGAATCCTCTGAAAACTGGTTAATTAGACCCCTGCTGACTAACCGGCTTCTAGGAAACCTCCACCAATGCAGACTTTGACCTTTTGTTCTCGGATTCCAATCTAATCCTAAGGTGTATGCACACCAAAAGATGACTGAGAAGTATTACAAAGACACACCACCAACACAGAGGGTCTTTAAAGAGGCTCCCGTCCACAAGGGGCTCAGGTCCGCTGTACTCAGGGTAGCTCACAGTTCAGGACTCTGCTACAGTCTATAGCTCAGTGATTCCATGAGGCAAACTGACAGTTTAACCAGCAGCTACTGTCTTAATGCTAGTTTATCATTGAAGATACGGTAACTTCAAGTTGCCAAAGTAGAATATTTAAATTCAGGTATGTCACTTTAAAGGCAGTGACTGCTGTTCTTCATTTCCACCCTGATAGATTCTATCTTTTAGTTTAGCACTTTTACCACGCAAAAGTTTGAGAAAATGTTCATTGACTTATTTAAATTTCAGTTTTTCAACTTAAACATACATCATTTCAGCACGTTTGCATGTAGACTGGTCCTGTCTACATACTGTAAACGGTCTGTTGAGTGTGGAATTTGGGTGACACCAGTTGTAACTCGCCAACCAGACTGAAGCTGCTCTGCTGTTGGGTTTCATGCAGACTCATCTCAGCAGTACAGATGACAGCTAACAGGATAAGGGAAGCCTCACAGTGACCTCAGCGTTGAGAAGCAGCAACCTCTCAGCGGGTATCCCGATCACACCTGATCGCACATGATAATTAACTTGCTCTGAATCAGCCCTGAGGCCTGGGCCCTTGTTTTGCTGGAGTCGCTTTGTGATCCCCTCAAAACCCTGAGAAGGTTAAATTCATGCATGGTCCTGATATACAGACTGTACTCGGGCTGTAACTAGTACGAGAGTGTAAAATGAAAAACAAATCCTATTTCAGCAGTTCACATGACAGCGTCATGCCCGTTCGCATCGCTAAATGAATAAACATCCCAACAGTAATGGTCCTCTGATCTCTGAACACTTAAGTTACAAATCTATACGATATATTATATAAATGACTATATATATGCATCAGGTTCTACCTCGGGCTCTGCAATGCGGAGGAGGCTGGCTGTCGTCGCGGCGATAAGGACAAGCCTCTACATTGATAGGGGGGAGGGATGGCAGCGGGGGACCAGGGCAGCTCTGCAGCTGGGATGTTGGGGGGGGGGGTCAGTATGGCAATAACACGCATCCTGCCACCGCTTTGGGGTGAGGCCCTCTGCTTATTCCTCTCCACAGTCACTGTATGTCAGCTGCTGACTTTACAGCAGTCACTCCAGCAATATTAATAAAGTACTCAGTAAGTACTGAATTGTTTTCCATTAACAAGCACCACTAGTGACCCTGAATGAACACAGATAAAGCCTATCAAATCTGACCCAGCCCCCAAGGTCTCTGCAGTCTGTACGTCTCCCTAACCTAAAATAGCTGCTGTTTCGTGTGTGTGTCTGAACAAAAAGTCTATTTAACCACATTGGTCATTTTCTCAGTATATCTGACAGATTCCAGAAAGACAAAATAACTCTGTAGTTTTAGTCCCCAAAAAAAAAAACACATTCAAATGACATAAATCTTGAATTTGTTTTAAAAGGCAACATGATTAGTTTAGAAGCTTTCTGTCTGAAAGTAAGATTAATATTTTGTTTTCACACAGGAAAAACCTACTTTGTAAACTGTCACAGTACAAAAAAGCCACAACTCCCTTCCGGAGAAGCAGAAGCAAAGTGAAGCGACACCAGCTGTAGAGTGATCCATTCCTGCTTTCTGCTTCTCTGGATTCCAGTGAGTCACGTCCTGCGTGAGACGGATGCCATGCTGCCTGGTGACTGGTTTGTGATGTGCCCGCCCTGGGCCTTGCCCGGTGACTCGGCACCTCATCAACATCAGCCACACACACCTGCTGGGGGCGCTAGCCTGTGACAGCAAGGACAGGTGGGGGCGATGCTATGCCGACAGCCAGACAGATTTTAGAGAGTCACGCTGCACCCAGTAAAACCAGTACAGCTAAAATGACCCTGAGATTTACGACTTTCCTCAGGGAGGGTCTCTCTCATCTGACCCACGTGTCCTGGTCAGATATCTTAGGAATCCTTTTGTTATGAGGCAGGAAGACACAGCAATACCAGAAAGCAGAGTGAAACCCTACTTGGGCTGGAATATCTGGCTGATGGTATTAGGGACATCACTGCTGTTCGAAACAGATGAACCGAGTGCACATAGGATAAGCTAAACAGCTAAACCAAATGGCCCTGCCATCCATTCCTTCGGTAAACAGCTATCATTTAACAAATACGTTCAGTGAAACTTCAGTGAAACAGCCTGGCTAGACGCTGTGAATCTCATGCCCTTTGCACAGACAGCAGTGGCTCCACGACACACAGACTGCATGAATAACCTTTCAGCGTAAAGAGAAACGTCCGCTCTCCTAGAAAAAAAAATCACACGTCAACAAGAGTTTTGCTGCCCTCTACTGGTAGACCTGTGAAAAGTCTCTTGCCAACCCATCATAGCTGGTTTGATGACATACTGTGTCATGAAGTTCACAGCTATTACCCAGAAAAATCTAAATGCTTTGTGACAACAGATTTGGATCTAAGGGCAACATCATGCCATGTCTGAAGTCTGGAGTTGTTCCCTACTGTCTATACCACACCTGTAGACCAGCTACTGAATAAGGCAGAGTGTCTTACCGGGGTGTCCCGCGTTGGGGAGATGGAGCGGGTGAAGCCTCTATCCCTGGACGGGGTGAAGCGGTTGCCGTTGGTTACTGTGTCTTCAATGGAGCCGCGCGGGAGGGTGGATCCAAAGCGAGAGCTGCTGTAGGGCTCCACCGACTCGCTCCCGCGGCTGTGGTACGATGACCTCAGTCCGCCGCTAGATGAGGAGGAGGATGGGGATGAGGAAGAAGAGGAGCAGGAGGTGGGTTCTCTCAGCACCAGCGACGTCAGCTCGTGCGTCAGGTCACTCTGGCTCACGGAGCGGCGGCGGGACAGAGAGATGCTGGAGGTGGCTGGCGAGGAGGACAGGTAGCTGGGCACGGATGGGGAATAGCTGAAGGAGGAGTAGACCCCGCCCCCGCTCAGCCCCGAGCTGTACGACCTCACCGGAGCTCGAGTCATGCTTTCGCTGCGCCGCCCCCCCAGCAGGTCGGCCCGGGGGGTGGTTCGCCCACGGTCGGGCTCTATGGAAGTGCCATAGGCGCGGGGGCGGCTGGCACTGCTGCTCAGGTAGCTGGAGGGGGTGTAGCTGGAGGAGCTGCTCTTATAGGCCAGTCGGTCCCGCTCGCCATAGGAGCCCAGGGAGGAGCCCAGGGAGGAGCCCAGGGAGGAGCCATAGGAGCCATAGTGGCTGGTGTAGGAGGAGCCGGTGTAGCGCTTGGCCGTGGACGATGCGCGAGACATGCTGGGATCTCAGCCGCAGGGGATGCACAGCCAGACCGCATTTACTGCAAGAGAGACAGAGACGGCCAGGTGAACCGCGGATTACGTTCGAATGCAGGTGATGCCCATTTGACTCATAAAAAGGTAACTGTCACCTTTTTGACCTTTGAGCAGTGAAAGCAGAGCCTGTACAAACCGGCAGGCGGAAACGCACGACTAAACAACCAAAACTCCACAAAAAGCTGATCTATCAAACCCTATAAATACTTAATGGTGCACAGACAGCCACAGTGAAGGAATCTCAAGACTCTGCCATGGGAAACTGCACCGGGTTAGACTGCACTGCCTTATCGCACCACAAGAAACAAGAAGTCTAGTTCCTCAGCTGCTACGCCATCTGCTGCCCGACAAAAGGTATGATCATTAAAACTAAACATCACAGGCTCCCAGGAAATGCTTCCTTTGTGTACCTAGTGCAATGGTCGCCAAGCTGCATGCCTGTGAAGGGGGAGGAGCCTAAATGAGGTCGAACGTGCCACGTGTGCGTAGAGTACGGTGTGTTCCTGTGGAAAGCCCAGCTGCTGCTGGTACGTGCCATCTGAATAAATAAAAGTATCTGGTGTTGTTGATGCGTGTTGATTTCCGAGAGAGGGCTCCTATTTCTTTAATCCGTCTCTCCCTCTCTCTCCCCCTCCCTCTTTAAAGGCAGCAAAGGCATCAATAATTCAGCTGGCAGATCTGCGGGCAGTGCGACCTGGAGGCCTTCCAAAGCCAGACCGGGCCCTGGGACAGCGAGGCCACTCGGCCCCAATCCAGGCCGGGCCCTGGGACAGGAAGGCCGCTCTGCACTTACCCGGGCCAGGCCCTAGGACAGGAAGGCCGCTTGGCACCCACCTGGGCCGGGCCCTAGGACAGGCAGGCTGCTTGGGACCCACCTGGGCCGGACCCTAGGACAGGCAGGCCGCTCTGCAGACACCCGGGCCAGGCCCTGGGACAGGAAGGTCGCTCGGCACCGATCCAGGCCGGGCCCTGGGACAGGAAGGT